AAAAAAAATCAAACATACATTTTTATGGCACAATATGGTGTATACAGACTCATTTTTTAACAAAGAACGGACGTCATTGGGATAATGTGCCTTTTGTTAGCTTTGTCACAGCTTCTGCAGATGAATGAGACTAAAATATGTTACAGGCAATAATCTGATTTTTGTCTTTGGATAGAGCTGATTAAAAAGCAATAGCACCTACACCGACATGCCAAAAGAAAAAAATAACTGCATTGTTTTGTGTGTGTGAGTGTTCATGCATTTGTGCATAGAGGTACTGAAGCACATAGACACCGCTGCTGCCTATGACGGTTGTAACGCAACATGTAGATAAGCTGCACATGAACAACACATACTGCACTGTGTGACATGTACAATATTCACAGTGATACATTTCTCCATGCATTTCTCACTCAAAGCAGGCTGTGTTGAGCATTCACAATTTTATGCTTGCGCTTGCCAATAAGAAAGTCCCCAGTCTTTCAGTTAGTCACAGAGGCTCATCCTGATTGGTGCAATAGGTGGTAGTTTTGTATTTGAGTTGGCAGCCTACTCATAACAAAATGTCCAGCCTCAGCAGTGGCTAAATGACTGTACACCCACAAGTTATTCACATGCTGCTGTCTAGACAAGACGCAAAACACTCAGATTCTTCACTTCACAGTCTTTCTTTCTTTCCTTGATTTCTCTGTTCTTCCTCATCTCTTTCTCAATTTCAGTCAGTCTGTCTGCCTGCCTACCTCCCTTTTTTTCAACATGGTGGCAGCAGAAAGTGCTTAATCTCAACTTATGAGTTTCAAAATAAAATCTTATTTTCTCTTTTATTTTTCTTCACACTGTCCTGTTAAATTCTAATACAAGTCCTTCATGATCTCCTGCAGCAGTGGGTGTAAGCACATGTCACTGTCGGTCTTCTTCAGCAGCTGCATGACGTGGACATGGTCAGTGACGATCTGACGCAGGTCAGTCATCTTCTGCAGCAGCTTGGCAAACAGCTGTAGAGAGTCCGGGTGGTTTAGCTTCAGATGTAGCTCCAGCGAATGAAGCACTGTCTCCTGCAGCTGCTCAATAGGCTTCACATTCAGAAGGCCTGGACGGTCTGGTTACAGAGACATTGAAACATATTGAAACCAAAGAATTTAAAAAAGAGGCCCATAAGAGAAGAAATGCAGAAGAGACAGGCAAAGCAGGAAGGCGGTCCACATGTCCAGATTTTCAGTGGAAATGAGGAGCGAAAAACAAACAAACAAACAAACAAACATTACGCCAATATTCTATCTGTTGGCTGAAAAGTCCTTAATTTAATGGTCCCTCATTACCTACGGTACCTGTATAATAACTACAGTTTTTACAAAAGCCTGGATATCTTTATTTCAAGCTATAAGTTTAGTCATTTAAGCTAATAAGTGACCTAAATGTCTGATTTTAATCCTTACCAGGTTCAAGGCCAGACTTTTTCAAGTAGCCGCATGCAAACCATTAATATCAGATCTAATAGTTTGGATTTGTTCAGAAATATTACTGTTAAAAAATAAAAGCTTAGATTTTAAACCATTTGTTTCCATAAGATAGACTACTAAGTCATTTGATTAATGAAAGTATCACTCTTATTCCTTCTCTTCCAAATATTTTTTAATATAAAACATCAATAATGGCAAAAAATGTGGCAAAAACACATTTTTTTCCTTTTCTTTCCTATTGTAATGACTCAAAATATTGTCAACCAAACCCAACTTTAGCTGTTATTGAACTGTACAACACGATGCTGTTTGTTGTTCCCACATGGAACTGACTCATTTACTGTAGGTCTGTTCCACTTTCTTTCCAATGATTTATCCCATACCAGCAAGCTGATAAATGGATCAAGGCTGGCAGCGTGTTTAATGCAGTGGGTTGACAACATAATGTGCTGCTGTATTGTTTTCAATGTAATACAAGACACAGATGATTTACAAATCACTATTTTCAGTTTAAATTTTGATTTTATACACCATCCCAACTTTTTCTGATTTGGGGTTGTAAATTGTAAATCCAAAAGCTAATCTAGTAACATTAACGTTACGCTAACAGAAGACTGGGAGCTAACCACAGCACACAGGCTGCTACTAAAAGCCAATTATGTAGCTAACGAGTTGCTAATAGCGTACGTGTCTCACACCATCTCAGTGTTAGCTAAACACCAATTACATAAATAGTGCAAAGAAGCTCGAGTGTCCAGTTTACATCCAAAAACTGCAAACTCTGCCACATTTACTCTCAACAGACAACTTTAGCAAACACACTCCTATCACTCAAAAGCTAGCTCTGGCTGATCCCAGGTCAGCGGTTTTAGTTATAAGGTTTCAGCAGGCACTGTCAAAATCTGCATTTGCATAGTGAGCTGTGATTGGTTTTCAGATTTGTGTTGTCACAAATTTGGTTTGCACACACACGTCTGAAATTAGGATTTCTAGGACATGGACTGACACTGCCCCCTAATGTGAAAACACCCTGTTAGTGACAAACTGTGCACAAACACCGGTCAATACAGTAGGAGTCTGAAAGTTTATGGCATATAAAAATGAAAAAAAAAAAAAAACATGTTTTGAGTTTAGGGGGTCTTTAACATCAATGGCGTTTTTCCATCAGCATGGGTCAACCCTTCTGAGCAGAGGCATGTGCGACGAAGCTATGCTGAGCTGTGCTTGAGTTGCTCCTGAGTCAGCGTGGTTGTGTTTCCACCATGGATCTCCACTACGCCATAAAGAGCATTGGTTCCACATCTCGATAATGTGGGGCAGCATGAGCTGCTGAGAAGCGACACATCAGTCAGAGTGTCAGTGTGGTGGTACTAGCTTGCAGCATGGAGCCCTTGGTGCTAGGCATTATGTTAACCCCTCATCAGAAGACTAAGTGAGAGACTCCATTTTCACATCTTTCTGCAATAAAATTACAGATAAAAAGACTATGCTAAATGTAAGGACGCTCCCTTAGCACAACATTTCAGACAATCACGTTTCTCAATGAGTCCGCTCTGTTGAGGCCATTTCTTTGCCCCACTCAGTCCTGGGCAGAAGCAGGATCAGCTGAACACAAGTCAGCACAATTACCCTGCCGATAGGAACAGATGGAAACGACCGCCAACCTGTGCCTGCCTGGCTCAGTACAATTAGAGCAGGCAGACCTGTGCTGATGGGAAAACACCGTAAGACTCTTTTCCATACTACATTAGCTGATATGCTTGTTTCTCACTTGCTTATAGAAATGACAATTTTTAGACTTTATGCAAAGCTAAATCAATCTCAAGGTTGTAGCTTCATATTAACAAACAGACATGAGAGTGGTGTCAGACTTAAACACAGCTAAAACGCCTTGTAACCTTCTATGATCTACAACACATAAAACATATCCTGTTGCAAAAAGAAAGCACTCACCCCCGCTGAGGATAATGACAGCCAGAAACAGCGCCATGTCACTGTCATCCAGCTCCAACATGTTGAACTTAACGGAGAACTCAAACTTTGGTTCCATTATTTGACAGAAAGGTTTCCTGAGACTCTTAAGGAACTCCCGCGTCATAAAGATCTGTCCGTAGGAGAACAGAGTCCCATCCTTGTTCATCAGAGGTGCCATCATGATGATCAAGACCTCTATCACACCATACTTCAGCAAAGTTACCTGGGAAAAGGGTAAAGGGTTGATGTGAAGAGCGGATGTTATTTGGATCTTCAGGACAGATAGTTGATTTGTGACAAGCCATAAAATATTAAGACACAAAAAACTTTTATTGCTTAATGACAAAATGAATGAATGAGCAACTGAGACATCATTATTTCTCACCTGATCATTTAGATCCAGACTAATGAATCCGGGGATGCTCTTTGCAAACTCTGTCACTTCTCTCACTGCTTCAGCTGAGCGTGACTGACAGCTGTGGAACAATCGGAGCTCCACAGCATCTGTTGGTGGTCCCTGTCCACTGATGCCCGTCAATCCTAAAATGCAACACTCTATTATGTATATAGACTGTACGTGTGTAAAATGTTAGTCAAAAGTCATTTCTGATGCACATCAGTATTACTTCTACTCTCTTTCCAGACATTCAAATCACCACCCACCTTCAGTTTTCATAATGATTCAAATACACTATATAGTGACTAATGATATGAAACAAAATGTCAGTTGTTTTATTTGGTTACATTGGTAGGTATATAGAAAATAAAAAAGGCACTGGTGACATGATTTCCATATCATGACAAAAAGTATGTTTAATTACAGTGTTTGGCAGTACTAACCTCCATGTATGGCTGTAAGGGTTGAGGTCTGCTGCTGCTGCTGGTGCTCAGGGATGGGCACCTGTCTGCAATTAATAAACTGCTCTCCCTCCAGTAGAGACTTCATGTCATGGATAACAAAAGGCTAAAGGACGAGGAAACAGGAATATGGATTAAGAAAGTTTTGAGGAGTACAAAAGAGTAGGCAGAGAAGAAAGAGGTGTAAAGGAAATGAAACAGAAACAGCGTCAGCTCATGTCTTCAAAGGACATGTCGGCTACAGATTTTATCATATATACAGTACTATCTATTTACTTTGCTCATGTCTTCTAAGGACATGTCGGCTACAGATTTTATCATATATACAGTACTATCTATTTACTTTGCTCATGTCTTCTAAGGACATGTCGGCTACAGATTTTATCATATATACAGTACTATCTATTTACTTTGCTCATGGCTTCTTCATCAGACCTGCGAAAACAAACTGCACGTACCTCTGATGGGCAAAGTAAATAATTTGCAGCTGCAGGCTGAGGCAGACAAAAACACCATTTCCTGGTAAATGAAGCTTAACTGAGTTAAAGTTGAGCTTAGGCTGGTAAAACATTGACAAAGACGTGCACTTGTCTTGAAGACTCATATAGCTAAGTCTTCCTTTTTTCATAGTGGTAAAATGAGTAACTGTATGTGCTAAAGGGAATTACAGCAAGTTATGAAATATACAATTATTTCAAATGGGAGTGAATTAAACAATCACTTCCTATTCTGTCATTGCTGCTTGTAGCCGAAGTGGCCAATGAGATAGACCAACTTTCGTTAAACTGAAATTTCATTTGCTTTCTGTGAGCACATCATGTTGAATAACCAAATGAGATCAGGTGTTCATATTGTTGTTTGAAAATGCATCAGCTGATTTGATGTTGCGTTTGTATCCTTACCAGTCCATAACAATGGAAACAAATGTGCACTGCACAGAAACACCACAGTCCTCCCTTTTTGCAAACGGCACTTACTGAGGTTAACACTTGTAAAAGCAGTCTTCTTCCTTCACCTCTGATGGTGTGAATGGAGTGTTGATGGAGTCAGAGTGAAAAAAGCTGATTATACACTGGCTCATATCAAGGACCCACTTGTTAAAAAATGTAGCCAATCCAAGATTATTGTCTTGTTTCAGGAGGTTTGCTGTGGTTTAATAAATAACTGAGAACTCCCTCAAACAGAAGATTAAGTGCCATTTGGCTGCTATCACTGTGATGAACAGTCATAACAAGCAGACGAAAGATTTGCGGAGCAACCTTGAACTTAACATTCAACTGAGAGAGAAGCAACAGAAAAGGAAAAAACTCAGATGCTGCCTGTACAGTTGGTCCTCAGTTAAAGAGACCATAATGCCAACAACAATAAGTGATATTAATAATAATTCATGTTGAAGGCAAGAGAAGCAGCTGGTGGATTCACTGTGCACTTTTTAAGTCAACACTATCATTTAACATTTAAGTTCTTGCTTCATGTACTTGGTTCTTTCAAAATCTATTGAGTTTTACCATGTGTAATAATTCACTGTAATGTAAAATCTATTAGAGTACTGTATACTTAAGAACATTCTGAGGAGCTTGTACTTTACTTGATTATATCCAATTTATGTTACTTCCTATTTAAACCACCTTGAACATGAAAATGACACAATATTATGAATCCCGTAATTATAAAATAATAATAACAGATCTGGAAAAGGCCACTCCAGATGACTACTTTTACTGTGTACATTTGTTGTTAACACATATGTAGGCAGTCTTGTTGACTGCAGGACTTTTACTTACAATGTAGTATTTCTGGTATTGCCACTTCTACTTAAGTAAAAAGCACTGCGTTAGTCCACCAGTGATGCTAATACTTAACTGTTGCACTAGCAATGCTCTGTAAAAGAGTTCAGTGCAAGTTCTACAGTTATCTTGCAAATTTTATATATAACGTACATTTTCCTGTGTGGATTTCATTCATATGTTTTTGGTTAAATGTGAACCTTTTATCAGACTATTCTGTCAGTCATTTAAAGATGGTAAGTCATCACGACAAATGCACTGTGGATCATTACAGAACATTCCTGTTTTTTTTTTCTAATCTGTCACTTGTTATTGAGTTGATGTGGTTTTCCTGATTGAAATGCTGAGATTCAATATCTGAAAACCTTATGTGGAAAAACATAAATTGATGATATCTCAGATTTTACTACTTTCAGCCAACACATTTTGGTATAGTCCACTTGTTTAAATTATCAACTCTCTTTATAAATTTGTTTGACATTTTGATTGGGAATGCTGAAGCCATTACTGTACATTAGACTGCTGATTCATAGCTTGATGACTGTAATTGGAGATATATTCTAAGAACCAGAACATGCCAAACCAGTCAACCCACTTTTCCTGTAGAGTAGCAACAACAGCTTAGGAAGACTTCATCTGAATTAAACTGAATGTGGTAATATGAAAACAATGCTGGCAAAAAATGTTAACACATGAAAAATGTTAACTACTTTAAGTGAAATGCTTCTAATCTCCTTAAGTTCAAATTTATATTGTTTACTACTGTTTCCCCAGAGCAGCTGCTCAGCTGTTAGATTTAGAAACTTATGAAGGGAGAAACTGTGGTAATTCTCTCTGTTATATTCCTATTTCGGCTGCGCCCCATCATTTTGGGGTCACCACAGTGGATTATTGCGGTCTGTACATGTGATTTGGCACAGGCTTCATGCTGCATGTCCTTGAAACTGGCCTTTATCTTTATGATGGTTATGTTTCAGCATAAATGGTGGCTTGGTTGTTTATATTTCCTCAGAGTATGAATATACATATGGCACAGATTTGCAATATACATCTCAGTTGTGTTTGAGAAAATGCTGACAGTAGTAAATCCAGCAGAA